ACATTGGTGAGTAAATGAATTTTATTTTACATTTCTTCTTGTCATTTTATTTTGTTAGTATTAAATTCATGGCAACGAAATAAAATGACAAAGATACAAAAATGTATCAAATAAATCTGCTCACCTGCAATTTATAATGGCGCATTGTAGTCACCTTCGTGCACGAAAGTTCGTTCAATCTCAGCTGTTCGTCAGTTATCGCATCGGCTCTCGATAGTACAGACGTATCTACTGCCGAATCTCCAATTCTAACATCTACCACCGAAGAAGTTAAGGTCGTGGTTCACCTGCAATTTATAATGGCGCATTGTAGTCACCTTCGTGCACGAAAGTTCGTTCAATCTCAGCTGTTAGTCAGTTATTAGTTAGTCAGTTATGTCAGTTATTTGCTGTTGTATCGCCGATTTTCAAAATGCGAATGATCTGTTTATTTTCAAAGAATAGTTTGTTTTGTTATTGTTTGGTTGGTGTCTTAAATGAAAATGCGACACTGCGCAATTTATTGGACAGACTTGTTGAAGATCACACAACGTAATTTGGGTGGCATTTTATTTCGTATTTTTAAATCATCTTTTTATTTTTGACTATCTGTAAATTTAGTTTCCTGCTCTTAATTGTGAATGCATACTTGATGGTTTTAAATGCTCCTGAAATTAAGTGCTGCTTGACGAGCCTATATTGTGTATGTATGTGACGTCACTGAAGGCCTAAGGTTGAAATGCACGGCCCGCCACTGGCAGGATTCCACAGAACAATTCAATACAATACATCTTTATTAATATAGCACTTTCACAACAGCTGCAGATGTAACAAAGAACATACATCCCATCCATCCCTCATCCATCCATTTTCTGAACCGCTTTATCCTCACAAGGGTCGTGGGCGTGCTGGTGCCTATCCCAGGTGTCTTCGGGCAGTAGGCGGGGGGACACCCTGAACCGGTTGCCAGCCAATCGCAGGGCACACAGAGATGATCAACCATCCACACTCACACCTAGGGACAGTTTAGAGTGTTCAATCAGCCTGCCATGCATGTTTTTGGAATGTGGGAGGAAACCGGAGTACCCGGAGAAAACCCACGCAGGCCTGGGGAGAACATGCAAACTCCACACAGGGAGGCCGGAGCTGGAATTGAACCCGGTACCTCTGCACTGTGAGGTCGACGCGCTAACCACTGGACCACCGGGCCGCCCGCTTTACAGAACAGTTCATATAAAATAGCAAAATATCACAAAACATAACATAAAATATGGACAGTCATACAATCGTAACTGTCGGTGCTATTCCGTCAAGACATAATACCTTAGAGCAGGGGTCCCCAACCTTTTTTGCCCCACGGACCGGTTTATGTCAGACAATATTTTCAGGGACCGGCATTTAAGGTGTGGCGGAAGTAATACAACAAAATAATATGGTATGAGCTGCATGAAAACTGTGGTGTTTTCGAAATATAATAATAAACACAAGGAGCGTCTAATCTGGCCGCAACACTCCAATCGCTATGGCAATGTTTAATGCCTTCAAAATACGATACAACGCAAATTCAAAGTGCATGAAAATGACGACTCACCACAGCACCGAGCTTGATTTTCTGCAACCAGACGGTCCCATCTCGGGGTAATAGGAGAGACAATGACACCGCAAGTGTGTGGTTTATGTCCAGTCTACTTCGTAATTTTGTTTTCGTCGCCGTTGCTGCATAATCCCCCCCCCCGCCTCACACAGGTAGGATGTCGGAAATAGCAAAAGTGCTATTGTGGCGATCTCAGAGTATTCAGACATAACTTTAATCCAGTTGTCTCGAACGTACTTTTAAGGCCGCCGTCATTTGCGATCTCCAGCAGTTTTTTTACTCATTTTGCGAGCTCCGGTGTTTGTTTTTAGCCTAATTGGTCGCGTTACGGAGAAACGTGGCTTGACGTGTGTCAAGCTGGACACAGACTGATGTAACGGAGAATCCGGTAAGTTTTCAAAATAAAACATCTTTCGTATTCCGAAATAAATAAAACGGAATTAAGGCAAGTTCTTTCTGTGCGGCCCGGTACCAAATGCCCGGCGGACCGGTACCGGTCCGCGGACCGGCGGTTGGGGACCCCTGCCTTAGAGGCGACGAGTCTTGAACGCAAACAATAGGACAAGGACTTCTTTGTATTTTCTATTTATTAAAGAAGAAAATTATACAAAAAAGGTTTTTCTTTGTTTGTTTGTCTGTCTGTTTGTTTGTTTGGACAAAAAACTATATCGCTTCAGGCGTGAGCTGGCCTTATCTGTCTCTCGTGTCCAGCTCCTCCTCCTTCTTCAAACTGTTGCCAGTCGCGTGATGTCACAACAATTAGTTCCATCAAAGAAATATTCAAACATACTACAGTATATTTGAAACAAATTGAATGTAACATATGCATAAAATAATAATGACAATTATTTCAACTTGGTGATAAAATATGCCAATTCAACTTATCAGTACTACACCACATATGGAACATGCCACGAAAATCATAAAAAATATTAAATTGGCACCTACAGTAACAATTATTCCTGCAGAACAACATAAAAAAAAAAAACAAACACTCCACCAGTTTCCAAGATTAGTGGAAGGGCCATTCCAAAAAAGTGGAGATTTGTTTTTACTGCTGTAACAGTTTGTCCTTGATGAAGTTGTGCCCCAAAGAGTCCACTGAAATATGAAAATGAAAGTCATTCTCCTGGCATGCAGAGTAAAGAAGGGCAATCAATGAGAGTGCATCTTCCATCACAGCCAAAAATAAGCCTCCCCAAATGACATTTGTGGTTCACAAAATCCCAAACCTGAAGTTGCTCTTCTGTGGTTGCTTTGGAGAGCAGCTGAATGCCGGTTATACAGTACAACGGTAGGTAGCTTGAAATATGAGTTAACTCAAAACAATTGGATCTCAAATCATCATTTCCCTCTGGAAACAATGGAAATGCCATTAATCCAGACCCACCCCCCCCTAAAAAAAAAAAAAAAAATTAAAAACGATACAAAAATGTTCTCAAGTTTATCTTAATGAGTCACTCTTATTTCAAGGCTCCGCTGTATATTACAGACCATGAGATATTCAAGTATCTCGTCAAAGTACCGGTATTTCAACACAAAGTGTTTCTACATGTGACAGCAGATATTTTAAACTAATAAGACGATCTGTCGGCCTCTGTCCGGGCCAAGCTGGCAACTGTTTATACCTGGAACACGGGTGCTGCTTATTTCTTTGTCAGGGAAGATTGCAGTTTTGCAACCTTGAGCCAGAGGCTGTTCTTCTTTCGCGGAGCAATGAGAGTGGACACACTGGCAAGCAAACAGCCTGTTTGGCAGCTCGACATCAGTTCAAACGTGACTTGTCCAATGTGTTTATTTTTTTAACACGTTTACTTTCCAATCCTTGAACAGACCTTTTGCCTCAGTTTTTCTAAGCTTGTTTTAGCAGATCAAAACAAACATATTAGCTTTCGCTTACAACTGTTTTCTAATGTAATTGTTCTCAGAAAGCAGATGTGTTATCAGCAGCGCTTCTTGATCAACCAAGGAGCTGCACATTCCACAGATGCGGTTGCTTTACTTTGTAAAACATCGGCAAATTAACACAGATCGTAAGATTCCACATTGTGTTGCCAATATTTACATTTGGTATTGTAAAGCTGCTTTTTGTTGGAGCCTTGCTAGCCGTCTGCCCAGGTTTCCTGTCTGCTACACTTTATCAACATCACGCAAGTTATTTTCTGGAGGCTGGACGTCATTCATGCCAAGTGACACATTTATCTGGAAAGCGGCATTATTTTTTGTAATACAGTACGGCGTGTCTATCACTGCATTCCGAAAAACAACTTTTTGAAATGAACCGCTTTCACAATGGCCATTGTTAAAAAAATATATATATATAAATTATATTTGCCCGTTATTAATGCCAAGCCACTACCAAAGCACTCTATTTGGCTGAAAGGTTTGTGAACCTGACTCCAATGTTAGTGCTTCATCAGTCGTGAACCTCACAAGTCAATGCTTTTTCCGCTTGAACTGGGTTGATGTAGTCCACTTTTCTAAACAGTGACAAAAGGGCACTACAGAAGGCTACCAATGAGTGTGTAACGTTTTGACGTGAAAGTGGCCCGGCCAAGGGTTTAGTCATATCACTGTGCTCTGTTCTTCCCCAGCGTCACAAGAAGCAAGCGCGCAGGGGCAAGCTGTGATCGTCTGCTTCCTCAAGGGAACATGTTTTTGATCAGTTCATGCTTCAGAAATTAGCGGTAGTGTATTTAGAGTCAAGGCAGTTTTGGGGTAATTGTGGCGAGTGCTGATTGAACTTGATATGAAATTAGGATCCACAGACGTTTGTCAGTTTAATTTATGCCAAGTGAAACTTCTGCCTCACAGCTCAACCACGTTTCTCATCATGACAATTAAAAGTGGGAGCCTTATGCCTTGGGAAGACGTTTGTTTGAATTATGTGCTGTATTCACTCAAAACAATTACATTTAAAATACTTGAAGCATTACAAAGTTTTGAGTCTCGAGAGCTTCCAATTTGTTTTAATTCATCAGTGCATTGAGAACGTGCAGAACCAATCAACAGGACGTGCATGATGGAACAAATCGCAACCACTTCCAGTGAATTGTTTTCAAATAATCACTTGCTGCTTCATCTCTGTCAACTGTGGGCTTGTGATCGTGAATTAAATATTGACATTAGATGGAGTCTTCCATAGATGACAGTACTGCCTTGAAATAAAAGTTTAATTCATTGTGTCACCAAGCTCGTCTCTCGAGACATCTTTCCCCATTGAGAACTGCAGCCTCCCCAAAACTCCCAACAAAAATGTGAATGTGTTTTGAAACGAGAAAAATAGCTTTGTTTAATATTGTGCTTTATAAATGTTGTAACAACATAATTAAATAGAACACAAAAGCAAAATTAAACACTTTTTACATTATGATTATTTTTGCAGCTCCCTCTGGTCTGCATAACTTGGCTACCGGTGGGTGATATAATAAAGTTATGAAAACACAAATGAGGAAGTGTCTCATAAATCCTGCAAGCAACTCTGTAAGGTAACGCAGTTTTGGCCGTTTTTGGCAGAGGTAAAAGAAGATATGCCCATGAGCATGTATTGTTATATTGTCTGTCTCCATGTGTTGATGCACCATGTGTGCGACCATCCGTGCTACTCATTAGCCCATCCATTGCATTGTAAATTGCGTGTTAGCATTAAGCTAGCGGAAAGCAAAGTGACATGGTTGTTTTAAATACACAATGTGCAATTCAATTTGATGTTTAGTTTGACAGTCAACCTTTTGGAATGAGTTACTGAGAAGACCGTTGAAACTTTGGTGGTGACGCGCTATAAAAAAATATATAACCGTAAAAAAAAAATGAACCGGGTGGATTTTCATTTTGTGATGTCATTCAATGGTTACAATCATAACATTATTTTCTCATGTGCCAAGAAGTGCAAAATAATCTGATTAAAATAGAGAATGAGGAATTTGGGGGAAATCACCTGAGCATGAAATAGTCGTTAATTAAAAGGATAATTTCATTTTAAAGCTGCGTTTCGACCGCTGAATGGAGATCACTGCTCATCTAAACTGGACTCCAGTGAGAAAGGAGAGATGGTGGATCAGTTGGGGAAGAGACAGAAAAAGATGAGTTTCCGTAGCAACCGGTTGGTGTGCATCATCTCGGTATGTGAAGACATGTACGCGTTACTGATTTAACAAGGCAGAATGTTCGCAGAGTGACTTGTAAAAATGTGTCTTCTGTGGTCTTTGTCATGCATTATTGGCGGTGTATAATAAAGGATGCACGTGCTCGAGGCGTATCATGTCTTACAGATCATAAATCCCCGTTTAATCTTTCGATTCATCATGATTTGCCTCGCCTCCCGTTAGATCCAATCAGCACGGCCTTCATTTACACATAAATTAACGCAGATTAATCATCAACTCTTAGCCAGAGGGGAGATTAGTTTCACGGGAAATCAGGTATCTTCTTTTTTTAATAAAAGGAAGACGGGAAGAGGCTTTGCACGTGAAGATCAACCACAGCTGGAATTTCTGCAAGAGAAAAAAAGCATCGGAAGGGATAATGGATGTGCAAAGAGGGAAAGTGAAGAGAAAGAGTGGAGAGAGGGCTGCAGATGGAGCGTTAAGAGCAACGCTTTTCCCTTTTCACGTGTCATGCTTCACCCACCTCCGTCCTTCCCTTCCTCCTCCCATCCTCATGTGCTTCTGACAGCCTCTGTGTGGGTGTGCTTGAGAGAAAGAGATGGATGGAAAAAGCTCTTATTTATGTAAAAGCTGAAGAGCTTCTCGGCTCAAGCACACAACCTGACCCGGGCTCTTGTCGTAACCCTTCATGCTGAGAGCAGGTCTTGTTTCAATGAACGAAAAAAATATTGATTTGCTATCTTCTCATCTATTACTATCACGCAACAATTCGACTTCCTGTTTACCAGGCTTATCTCCTTCCAGGCTGAAGAAAGATTTTGTTGATACCGGGCTTAGGTTAGGTCGAGATCATCTTAGTTTGTTTTTATTTAGTTTCGACCGTTGTTGTTTAATTGTTGGTTTTTGGTGGGGTTTATTTTATTTTTTAAAGTGCGTAGTTTTAGCTTCGTTTCTATTAGTTTTAATACAAGTTGAGACTTTTTTTATTCCATATTTCATTTTTGGTAATACATTTTTCAACGCATACATACAACCCAACAACAAAGGGTTTGAAGCCAATAGCATATACTGTACTGTAATCACATATTGTAAGATTTATTTTGGTGTAACCCATGAATTGTCGATGACTTTTATGCATTCTCAAAAAGAACAAAATCCCCATGTGTCAACCACAGGGCAAACGGCGCTGAAACTATTCAGAAGTGATGTAGAATTTTAGCGGTTGTACATTTCCAAAAATAATAAGTGTAGCACTCGGCTAACGTTAGCTTGTTTACAACGCTAATGCTAGCTTAGTGTTGCTAGCACCGCTGTTCTGTTGAATAAGGAGGGTGACTTGAGGCGACTTTCAAATCTTTCTAGCAGTTCAAGCACCGCAAACCCCCAATTCAACTCACAGTAAAACATAAAATGATGAAACATTATGCTTGAGCACTAATTTTTAAACTTTTAAATGAATGTTGGTGATCCACAAAACAGAATGCAAATAATCTTGACGGTTTATTGGTTGTCAGCTAATCTCCAAAACTGCGTGTAGGCAATTATTCCATTGTAAACAACCGCTGTGTGTAATTATCATTCCAACACAAGGAAATTAATCATCTCTCTCCTGGTGAGGATTGTGCAACACTGAGAATGTACGCATGCTCTCAAACCACCAGCTTTATTCATGAAACAACTCGTGTTGATACAATCTAGTCATGATGTCACATTGCAGATAATTTCAGCACTCTGATCTCCCGATGCAGCACGTTTGCTAAAAAAAGATGTGTGCAAGCAGAGTAAAGAAAGAGGTTTACTTTATCTATTTTCTGCTTGCTCCACATTTCTTTGAATGTAACAGTAATTCAGCTGCCCCGAAGACCTTGTTGCAAAACTGTTTTAACATCAAACACTTCACCAGTATGCTACCCGGAAATTCCCATGCCACAAAAGTGCATGGCGAGACAAAGGAGGCATTGGTGGAAAAATGAGAAATTTATGCTGAAATTGGCTAAAGGTTGGCGATGCTGTATTGAATTGAATGTTTTCATTGCCCTATTCCATCTGTTTACTCATGTTTCTTACTGTGAATCCAAATCCCAATGCAATATGAAATACTATTGCTAAGCTGCGCAATATTACACAACCAGTATAACTCAGAGCTTTATTTTATTTAAAAAAAAGAACAGGAGAAAAACTGCCTTCCCCTTTTTATTATCATCCCTTGTTTTGTACACCACAGCATATTTTGAAATATAAAGCAGTGGTTCTCACACTTTTTGCTCCAAGTACCAATAAGTATTATCTCTGTTATTATTTGTTTATTACCTCTTAGTTTTATCTCTCAAATACCAGCATCATGACCAAATTACAGTAGCTTTCCAAGCTTTCATCCAAAAAGAGGTAGCGACTGAAGGTTAAATTATTGTCAGCCACTGTAACATTGCACACAGTTTGGACAGCAAGACAATGCAAAAAATAGGAAAATCATGATTTAATTCACGTGTTTTGCATATAAGATAAATAAAAACTGGACCGGAATGAGTATTTAATAAAAGAGTCACTGAGTAAATGCAAATGTATCGGACTCCTAAGTTAAATACAACTGAAATGTACTGAAAAGTGTGCGGTACATGAAAGGTAAGCTTTAGTTTTTTTATAATCGCATGTTTTCATTTAGTTTGATATGGCATGGCACCTATGGTTATTTTTAACCACACACTGATCAAAATAAAAGTAGAATTTTTGTTTTGGAACTAGAATGTTGCTTAAATTCCAAATCAGAATCAGAATCATCTTTATTGGCCAAGTATGTAGAACACACAAAGAATTTGTCTCCGGTAGGATAGGCTACTCTAGTATTGCATTAACAAGCAACTACGATCAACAATGACATGACATACAGGTATCGAAAGACTTTCCCTCATGTAAGGGTACTGTAGTACCACCCAATGACAGCTATGCAACAATGAGCAGAGTCATCGAGCACAGTTAAAATGATCAGTGGTGCATCAGAGAATCGTTGCTTCTTTTTTTTTGGTTTGTTTTTGTACAATATTTAGGTTGTTCGACTTTCGCGTTAATGTAAAGGTACAAAAATGTGCAGTGCTTTATTATCTGAAGGTTCCCCTGTAAATGAAACGATCCGTTACGTTTTTATTTGATTTATTTAATTTTATTAATGCCGGGCTATGAATGAAGCACCAACCACGTCTGTGTTTAACCCATTTAATCCCAAATTTTTCCCAGACATTTAAAAGTCTAAAGTCAGGTGTCAATGGTAGCCCTTTTAAGTAATCAGTAATAAAAATTTTTAGAGCCCTGTAAATTAAATCATTGTTGTCCTTCACAAATGTGACCGGTGGGATTAAATGGGTTAAACCATCCTCCATTCTGATCTAGCAGCATTCGGAAATGTCAGGCCGTGGCCAGTCCGGCTGCCTTCCTGCACTCACTTATGTTTGATTAATGATAATAACTGCTTGGAGACACATGTGCAATCCTTTCACTCACTTCTTCGACCTTTGCAGGTAGCACAGTGATCCGCCAAACATGATAATGGCCACATCGAAGCCAGTCACCATGCTGTCAGCCTGCTTGAGTAAATGAATTAACACCCGCAGACATACTTTGAACGATAAAAGGTCGAAAGACTGCGGGAAACACTATTGCTTCTTCCACTAGCCAGGAGAGTGTCCACCATGTAACCTCCCAGCCGCCCTTTAATCAGAATCAGAATCATCTTTATTGGCCAAGTATGTAGAACACACAAGGAATTTGTCTCCGGTAGTACTGTACACACTGCACTAGTATCATCATAAACAAGGACATGACAAATAAGTATGGGAGGACATTCCGTAATGTAAGTGAACCGTTGTGCGGTGGTACCACCCAATGACAACTGTGAGACAATGTGCAAAGTATCAAGCTGAGCTAAAGTGATCAATGGTAGAATACAAATACTATAACAGTTATACAGTGGGTGCAGAAAATCACTGAACCATTTTAAAGTGACCGGTAGCAGTATTTGTAGTACAACAAGTGTGCAATTATGTAGATGTCCTTGAGCACTTTAAAGTGTCTGGTGCTGTGGAATATATCAGTGACAGTGGTTCAAGTGAGTACACAGCTGGAGCTACAATGATTATAACGGTAATGCTGTAAAAACTGTTAAAAATTATTATTTTCTGTTTTATAATGTAAGCGCTTAAGTAGTCTTCATTCCTCCATTTTGTTTCTTAATCCTCATGCGCACCCCAGAGGAGTTGTGCAAGCATGTGTGTGCGCAGCCCATGTCTGTGTGCATTATCAAGGTCACCACGAGAGAGTCTCATCCTGTCTCATCTTGGGAGTGACCCACCTTTCTCTCAACGCACATCTTCTGAACTCGACTCACTTGATCAGCACGGACTGACTGTTACCAATACCCGAAAAATGTCATCCTTTATTTCAACAACAAACGGCTCTCATGTAGCACCAATCAGCTCATAATTCCTTTATGAGGATTAAATTCTTACTGCGTCTTATTTGGATCAGGACTAACAAGAAATTAATTGAAGGGGGTTGACCCGGTAGGAATTATGCTCTGCGGTTCAGCTGGCAGAACAGAAAAAAGCTCTGAGTGGGTGACAATACTGCCGATATAATTGGGAACATAACACGCTCAAGTTGGCCGCCTGCATTACTTACATGCTATCATCAGTCGCTGGAAGGACTTATTTATTTATTGACATATTTTATCCTAGGAGCCCGTACAGATAAGTCACACGTGCACTCACGCACGCACGCACGCACGCACGCACGCACGCACACACACACACACACACACACACACACACACACACACACACACACGCTAATTGCTGGAGTTGTGTTCCTGAAATGCAAAATAGGGTTCTCTTACCTCCAGCTGTACGAAATTTCACAAGGAGCTGAAATTATGTAATTAAAGGGTGACACATTCACCCCCCCCCCCCGATCACCCTCCCACTGTGTGTGGGATGGCCTGAAATAGAATTGCAGGCTTTCAACAAGCAAGCCGCTCTCGAACATCGCTTGCACAAGCCCGCATGCTTTTGAGGGGGAAATGGATGGCTCCTGGGCCCATGAGCCTCCTCGCTTGGTGGGGATTTCATCAGATCACTTGACAGGCGTGATCAGGTGTAATGGCAGGCGAGGTGTTGTCGCAGTGACAGCACAAAGTCGCACAAAGCAACCTGGAGGGGAGACGGTGCTCATGACCTGTATGGGGCGGGTTAGCAGTGCACACGCTCCCTTGACTGCCATTCACGCACAGAGACAAATCCTCTTCTGTGAAGACATTTACATGTTTTGCTTGAGGGTACACGAGGCTGTTATCATTGTGTGTGTGTGTGTGTGTGTGTGTGTGTGTGTGTGTGTGTGTGTGTGTGTGTGTGTGTGCGTGCGTGCGCGTGCATGTTTTCGTGGGAGTGTGCATTTGTGAGAAAGAGGACAGAAGAGAAAGAGTCTGTTGCTATGCATTTTTACAAGTCCTCCCACTGGTCACAGAAAACACATCATGGCAGCGAAGAGGACTGGAGCACATGCTATTGCGCACAACATTTTGACACAAAAAAAGCAT